GCCGCTGTCCAGTAACCCTGTCTTCTCAAGTAGCAACAAATATTTGCCAAATTTTACTGATATCTATAATGACATGAGAAAGATATCATAATTGTGTAGCAGTGACAGGACTACTCATACTCTTTACTAAGTAGCTCAGTACTAAGTAAAAGTAGCAATAACAGAGTGTAAAAAAACCCACAAGTTTCAAATTAAAGTCCAGCATTTAATATTTTACTAAATTAAAAGTACAAAAAGGCACCATGAAAAATTACAACAAAATAAAACATATACCAGTTTAAAAACATACATCTTCCACTCACTCCAGCTAATGTCTATTGATGGCAGAAACACATTAGCACAACAGAAATGCTAAAAGAAAATGAAATGACTTTAAATGCATCTTCAGTGTCCATGTACGTAAAAGCACATTAACAACATTATACATCAGCATGAAGCAAATAAAAAACAATTACTGTGTGCGCCTCTAGGACCATGTGTACAATACTGTCACTCTGGAGTCGTATATTCTTCATCTGCAGCCATGTTACTCTGACCCACAATGCTACTGACCTTTGACATCACCACACAACATCCCATTTCCCACAATGCCGTCAATTAGACTGTGGTCCTATTACACTCTACATTAAGTAATGACCTTACATAAAAGGCAATACATTTTTTACCACACATTTTTAGGTACCTTTTAGACACATTTTTAACAAACGTTTTACCTTTTTAACACCTTATTTATTAAATTTTTATCACCTTTTAATGATTTTGGGAGCTTGCATGATTATGAATTTATATCTGAAACATACAAAATAAACACTTACACACTAGACTACACTAAGCATTAATATGTAAAAACACATAACCTCTTAACTGTAGTAGAGGCCCTGTTTTTAGACAGCAATTTTAATGACATTGTTTCAAGAGGTCTGTAAAATTGCATTGTAATGTAATTTAACAATGACAGTGACTAAAAAGCAATAGCTGGTCATGGATGGATTAATGAACAGGCCTACCAGGCACAGTACTGGTGGCCCAAAGGGTCAAAATTCAATTAGAATTAAAATTCAATAAAAGGATTTTACATTCATTTCTATATTGTTCTGAATCAGTGTCACCTCCTGGTCATAAGGTCTCTGATCTGACATCCAAACTATCATGTCTGTCTCTTACAGTAAACATTTTACAGATGACCACTTTCAAAAGACAGTTAGACTAAAAACAAAAAAAAACATTGATGCTGCACTTTTTTCCATTAAATTTGAGCATAAATTGTACTCAAATCCATGTATCAATACCACAACGAAAACATATTTCCTTAAATGTTATACAGAATGCTACAGTTTATCTGATCATCTTTGGAGAACAGGCTTGTTGTAAGAATAGACCTGTGTTATAATATTTGACAAATGAAAGTATGGAAACCCTTTGACATGCAGGAGGTGTGACAACGCTCTGATTGCTTGTTTCTCTGGCAGCTGAAACATTGCAGGGTTGTGCTGCTCTCTGGTGGTAACAGAAGGAAAGACAGTTTAAGGTTAAAGATTCAGTGCACTGCTTGGTAAATAAATCCCAATTTGTGGTAGATATTGGGTTGCAGTGTTTTTTCATCCTCACACTTTTAAGTAAAAAGTTTAAGTTTAAGTAGTTTTATTGTTTTATGTTTCAAGCCTGATAAACATCCACAAATCAGATCCCAAATATTAAATAAATGTGGATAAAGATACGAAGCTGGCTTCATTACTGAAAATGTCTGTTTCTCTTTTCATGAGAATTTTATCAATTAATTGTACATGTACTGACTTTAAAAAATGGAAAAACATAATAACATAAACATAATAATTCCCGTCATTCACAGCTGAAATAACTGTTATGATCCTAAAGTTGTTGTCCACTGTGATACTCGGTTGCACACACTGTCACATCTAAAAATGTACGATAGCCCTTAAATGATAGTCTTGTTGACAACAGCTATAGCAGCTGAGGTCTTTAATGCCAACCGGTCGCTGTTTTATGGACACAGAAGAAGAGGGGCGTTTAATCACAGTAAAGTGCAAACAGCATCAGGCAACACATACAGAAGAACAGAACTCATGAGATACAAGAAAAATCAACAGTAACAAAAGAAGAGCAAAATACAAGAGAACCAACCAAAAGACTCTGATGAACCCACACTCACCCAACAGAAACATGGACTGATCTCACTGCCCGATGAAGCAGTCATTTTGTTTCACAGAACATGACCAAAGTAACTAGCGGCACCCTCACCAGATCTGGATCTTATTCTAGGTATACAGGGAACTCTCCACCTGACGGCCTCAGAGCCCTGACTGACTTGAGTCAGTCAACAGCTCAGAAATGCACCAGAAACCCAAACCACTACCTTTTCCCACCCACATGGAACAGGTTCTGTTCTGGTTCCTGCACCTAATTGGACCCTTTTTAATTTCGTCTGTATTGGAAGCCGAAAAGTCGGTTCCTAGCTATAGCAAATTTTTCTTGACCTGAAGTGCAAAATGGACAACATAAGTGGGTGTTTTATTCCACAGGGTAAAAAGAAAGGATGCAGTATTGCACAAATTAGTCTCCTCCGTCTTCTTATCATAAATAGTTGCTTCATGCTTAGTCTTTGGGTAAAAACAAATATCTGTAATAACAGAACAAAAGCTGGTCGGTAATCAGTGTCATCCACCATCTTGCTACTGCTGACTACTTCCTTTGTGCATTGTGTTGACACCGTCTGTTGAAGACACGTCCTTGTAACCATTACAATGGTTACAGTGGTTACTGGTGGAAACACAGACTGGTTCACTAGATAGCACCAAGGTTCCAAAAATCCTGAGCAGAGCCAGTTTAAGAACCAGAGCTAATTTGGTGGAAAAGGGGTGTAAGTGTATTAGACTACTGTTACAACTTTAAAACTGATTGTGTCGCACTGAGAGCCTATGAAGTCTTAAATACTGAAACTACAGTATATGTTTGGCTTTGTGTATACATGTAGCCTCAGTCAGACAAATGTATGAACCTGTTACTTAGAATCAGTCAGCTAGAGATTTAAATCCTGATATGATATGCTTTTTCAAGTAGTTAAAAGCTGGTTGTGTTACTGACATGACTTTCAGTGTAAAGATCAGAGTCCAATATGACTCAGAGGTTCCTGGTTTCCTTATTATATCTTCTACTAGTATCTCAGTGTTTATTTCAATGTAAAACATATCCAGAGTCCAGTGACTGATGTGACTGAGCAGCTTGTTTATTGGACTCAGGTGACCAGAGGAGATGAATGAGCAGTTGTGTGTTTTCACCATATGACTGACAGCAAGGATTATGTGTCCTTGTCCAACTTCTGTGTAAATACTGAATGTTCAGGTAATATTAATATTAGCTACTGCAACTATAGTCACAACCAAAAGAGACAAATCTATGACAAGTGGGAACTTTATTGAAAAGCAATACATTTAAATCTGCTATTCATTCATAGAAAATACAAAGGTACCATCATCAGGCCCTGCAGCTGGCTGTGCCGTCAATACTCTGCTGAGCCCTCTGACAGGAGACACCATTTTCTAAACCTGACTGATGTATCTTTAAGCTGCCTTTAAATCCTTCAATCATCCAAGCAGAGTCAATACTCTGCTGCTTTATATCTACATGGTATCTGCTCAGGCTAAACTACAGTGGCTGGCCTCACTGGCTTGATGGAAAACTTCATGAGTGACATGTCCTGCTCAGTTGTCCAACCACCATCACTGTCTTTTAAAAAACAGACAAGCAACACATTGTTGCATTAATGTAAATTGATTAATAAATATATAATACAATAAACATTAAACATACATTTACAATGTGAAATAAAACGATTACATTTAAATATCAAACACATAAAGTGTACTTCTTCACTTTTACAGCAGGAAGCTTTCTTTCAGTCTCTTTTAGTTCTGTGAAGCTTTATAATATGACACATATCAAAGTGTTCACTTTGTTTTTCACAATCAGGTGTCTGGATTCAGTCTCAGACAGAGCTCGTAGTTGTTGTCAGGAGCTGTAAGGTCAGAAACAAAATTTCAATGTGAAATTCCTGAAGTCTCATCTTTCTCTGAACATTTAGAAAAAATAAATGCAGGAAACAGTCTTGGAAAAAAAAAATCATCTGCACAATAACTTGAAACACTTTTTAATCTGCAGCATAAAGTGTGTTTTAGATCAGTTGAAATAGAATAAAAGTAAGTTTTACTTACGAGGTGGGGGACTTTTGGCTGAAATCAGGAAAAAAAGACAAATCAGTTCAGTTACAGCTGTAAATGCCAGAATATCTTCTGTCACCTTTTCCTCACTGAATGTGTTCCCCTCTTCTACTCACTCTGACTCAAAAATAAATCCATTCTACCCTTTTGTTTCATCCTGACTTTATTTCTTTACTGATCTCTTCTCTCCCACATCATTGTGGTATAATCACATTATCATGACTAACAGGCTCTGAGCCTTGAGACGCTTCCTGTTGGTTGCTTCAAATCATAGGTGCAGGGAACTGATGCTTATTTATTCAGTTCAAATGCAACCTGGATAACAGAACTGAAAAAGTCAGTTTAGCAGATGATGTTTGCATTTTTATCTCTCACCTATCTTCCTTTTGTAAACAATGAATGCAATGGCAGTGATGAAGACGAGAGCAAGAACAGCCACTGCAGCAGTGATGGGGACGGTCACGTTTCCAGGCCTCTCTGTTGAACAAACAAACAAACAAACAAAACTTGTTTTGTAGGTTTCATCATTGCCCTTGTTCTGTATTAATTCTGAGTTCAGTAAAGAGTGGACAGGCAGCACAAAGCTGTCACTTGTGTGGTAAAGACAATGTGGTGTATAAAATTCTTTCAAACTTTCTATGACTTTGTTAAGTCCTGTTAAGCTTACATGATCTGACCGGTGATCCTGGGTGAGAATGTGCATTGGTTTGATTACATTCTTTAACTGCCTTATTATTATTAGTTCTTAACTTCCCTCAGTCTTACCCCAGTTGGTCCTGATCACTGCTTTGTCCAGTTTGGTGATGATGTCATCCTTCACACCAGAGAGATGAAACACACAGTCGTACCTCCTCCAGTCTTCAGGTGGGACTGATGAAAGGTTCAGGTCAACACTCATCTGGAAGGATCCATCATGATTGGGGAGGATCTCTCTGTGGTCCACGTCCTCATGAATCTCCTCTCCATCTTTCCTCCAGAACATCATGGCTCTGTTAGGGTAGAAACCTGTAGCGTGGCAGCTGACTGGAGAGGAGGGAGACTTCTGGAGGAGAGACACTGAGGGAAGGTCTGCACAGATTGAGAGAGAAAAAAAAGACCATTACAGGCAGTTACAATTTGGAAGTGAATAATCTGAGAAATAAAGGGCAATTTCTTCACACCTACTTTTACCAACTCAATCTTGGCTAAAAATATTCCCACCCGTTACTGAACCAAGTTTACTATATGGTAATGAAGTGTAGGGCCTCCTGACAAACACAAACTATGAGAAGGGGAATAAACACGCTTTTGAAACCCTGCACACTAAAATATGTGCATCCTCGGAGTCCCCAGAATAACAACAAATAATGGATGTTAAGACTAATTAAGCAAATTTCCACTTTAAATCAGAATCCAGACAAATTCTTTAATCAAATCCTGTGAGCCCAAGTCCTAATGTTACAGAGCTCCAGACGGTGGAGAGGGCTGGTTCTTTAGGCTCAGCTTCTAAAAGGTACAGGGACTCAGCACAGCCCTCAATTAACTTTGTCAAACACAGGTCATCCTGTCTCACAAATCTCAAAGTACACTTCAGTGCAATGTAGCACTGAACAGACAAACTGAGTGGTAGATTATCAGGCAGCATCAGCAACCAGAAACTGAGAGTGACATTAACTGAATACTGACTGAGTGACCATAGTTATAACTCATAAAAGGGCGATCATACTCAAAAGTGGTACTACTGTATCACTAAAGAATAAACGTTTAAAACTGAGGAGGCATATTGTGTCTATGAAATCACATCAGGCCATACCTGTTTTCTGCAAAGAGCTCTTTCCATAGTTTACATACTCCTTAAGGTTCTCAATGCAGTCGTGTCTAAGGGCATACTTCCAAAATATACTGTTGTATCTATCTGTGTCCCACTCGTGTTTGGTGAAAACAGCCTGTTGTTTTGGAGCGATCCATGTCTCTGTCTCCAGATCCAATGATATGAGGTCTTCTCCATCATAGCCATAATGAAGATTACCACTGACCTCATCAGTCTCATCGTCCCATTCACAGCCATTCATCCTCTGGAAAATGTGAATATCTGAAAGAGAGAGAGGGAGGGAGAGAGAGAGAGAGAAAGACAGACAGACAGACAGAGCCTTTTAACTTCCTGTCTGAGAAGATTAAAAACATTTCATCAGTAAAAAGTGAACACATACCTTCAGTTTGGTTAAAATGCTGCATCAAATTCTCTATGGTGGCTTTGAAGGTGTGCTGGTTACCCAGACATTTGTCGGCGTACCACGCCAAGTGCTGAGGATTCTTTTTGAATAATTTATCCATCCAGTCCATTGTGGCCTCAGGTGCTTGTCCAGTGCTGTCACAGTAAATTATCTCAACTTTATCAACCAAAGCAACAGCCACAAACTCTGGGATGTCTCTGGTTCCATGAGAATAACTGAGCATGAACTCCAGGGAGTGTTTCACTGTAGGAAAAAAACATTTTTGAGTTAGGCTGTTTTGTGTTTACACACTCTTTTTTGTCCTTTTAGCTTTGACTTTGGTCTCTTTAGCTGCTAGATGCTCCCCTTTCTTCAACCTGCTACTTGCTTCCTTTGTCCATTTGCTGTTGTGTAAGAGTTTTTAAATGGATGTTTAGATATTGTTGTTAAAAGTGATCACCAATAAATCAATATGTTCACAAAATGTCTTCATAAATTCGAGATAACACAGCATGACTAGCTGATATTTAAATGGTCATTTTGTGGGTGATGTATTTCTTTAATGTCATATTTATGTCTGACCTATTTATGTTTTGTGCAATCAGTTCAACTGTTAATGTACATTAACAACTGAAGATCAGTTTAAACTCAGACCTTGTTAAAATGTTATAGGATGCAGGATAACTTCACTGATAGCTGAAGAAATGAGACATTAACACCTGTACTGCAGCTTCTCACTAAGCTCTGTCACAGCTCAGCTCAAGGCAAGGACAAAGAGTAGAGGAAAAGAATGGCTTTTAACTTAATATTTATTTTAGCAAAATATAAGTTAACCAATGCTACCGTAAAGTATGTAAATCAGTAACATAGGGTTTTGCATGTTGGATGAGCGTACAGTTAAGTGTTTTGAACAAAGAGCTGTTCTTTGCACCACTATAAATATAACAAAAGTGCAAACAACATTTTAGTAAGATCTGGGTGAAAACAGCTTTGGTTATTGGTAATTGCTGTAAGGAGTTACAAATGGTAAGAGCATGCAAAATGCCTTTGGCATTTTTTGACTAAACACAAAAATCTATCACATCTACGTTTTAAATATTAATGTTTTAGTTTTCAGATAGGATGAAATAAAATGTAAAATATCTGTTTAAAATCGGAGAAAATTCCACATGGTTGGCCTACATGTCTTTTATTTGGCAAATAACATGTAAATAGCTTACTGTAGCCTACGTATAGACGTGCACGCGCATGCCTACAGGGAACACTCATTAACAACACTGCATAATCGTCGTCTAACAAAAAATGTTCCTAAAACCTAACCTACGCAACAGGACGATAACTCTTCAGTGACATGAAATCCACTAATGTGACTGAGAAATATAAAGTTATGTAACTTGTTTCCGTTTCTTTTTTAGCTCCTCATCTCCTCGAACTTTCCACTTCGGTAAGGAAAGATATTGGCAGATTCGAACTTGCGGGATCAATAACTCTTAAGTGAAACGTTGTTAAAACACAAAACACGCATATTTTCAACCGTAGTAAGATAGGCAACGAGCTACAACCTAATTTTCATCAAAACGAGCCGTCCTCGGAGCCACACCAAGAACATTAGCGTTTACATGCAGCCGGCTGTGAGAGCAGCGCGTAGGGACCGTCTACAAAGTGCAACACCGAAAAGAGATATTACAAAAATATTAAATAACTTCACTATAATACAGTGTAGTGTCACCAAACTCACTACACAATTCATTGATCTCCTACAGATTACACTACAACACTTATTTGGGAAAATAAGGACTTTTCATAATTTCTAGGAATTTTTATTAGGAATATTAATCAGTAACTTCAATATGATACAGTGTAGTGTCACCAAACTCACTACACACTTCATTGGTCTGCTACGGATTACACTGCAACACTTGGTTTGAAAGAAAGGCATTTTTCATAATTTCTGGGAATTTTTATTAGGAATATGAATCAATAACGTCACTATTATACAGTGTAGTGTCACTAAACTCACTACACACTTCAAACAGGAAAAGAATCCAGGCACTCCAAACAAAAATGAGAATGAGGAAGGAAAGATTAGATTAAAAAGCCTTTAATATAATGGCCAACTCATTAAAAAGCCAACATGTTTCGACCACTGTTGGTCTTCATCAGGGCTGGAGAAACAGATGCACCAAGGTGTGGTTTCATCTATAAAGCAGCAGCAGCCAATAAGAAACTGTCACATGACACAGTTAATGACATGACAGGTGAAGCCAATGAACCATGATGAATAAATCACAGAGGATGAGAAAGCAAGGAAAACACACAAAACATAACCAAACCAAACATCAATCAAACTAAATAAAATACCCATGGACCAGTATTAAACATATGTTCAAGATATGATAAACATATTAAACATATTTTAAACATGCTACAAAGATAGGCTATGAAGGAGGGAGAGTTTTTTGGGGTTTTTTTTAAATCTAATATCAGAAACATTAAAAGGACTACAGTGTATCATATCGAAGTTATTGATTAATATTCCTAATAAAAATTCCCAGAAATTATGAAAAATGCCTTTCTTTCAAACCAAGTGTTGTAGTGTAATCTAGGAGATCAATGAAGTGTGTAGTGAGTTTGGTGACACTACACTGTATTATAGTGAAGTTATTGAATATTTTTGTAATATCTCTTTGCGGTGTTGCACTTTGTAGACGGTCCCTGCGTGCTGCTCTCACAGCCGGTGTCGTGCCAAGGTAGCCTACTTATGCCGCATTCGTTTGGCAATCCAAGCCGGTCATTCCTTGTCAGATTTATATGACCATATGACACGTCTGATCTGAAAGCGTTTCATTGCAACAGTCCGGAAAACATGGCTTGTTTGTGTTTGCATGGTTGCTGAGCACCGGAGACTTTGCTGGTTCAAACGACTTTAGGCTACAACGGGCTTGCACAGACTTTTTTTCCAACACAAATCAACAGTGGAAATAGAAATGCCATTGCAAAGTAGGCTACTTGTATGATTTTTACAACACAAACGCTTAATTAAACAGCATATACGAGAACAAATTGTGGACAAATAACTTTGTTTAACTGTTTTAAATTATACACTTCCTGTCGGGTGTCGTGCCAAGGTACTTATGCTGCATTCTATTGGTAGCTGGAACCGGGATTGATACGGTTTCCGGTCCGGAAAGGTACAAAAGAACACCCGTTACCCGGAGGTCTCGTCATCAAACTATTTTTTTTTTTAAATTGTGCGACACACAAAACCTTACATACAGACATACACCCATACATACTTACACACCTACATGGGGTGCAGAGATACACACAAAGCAAGGGTAAAAAAAAAAACAAAAAACAAAAAACAAAAACAGCCAGAGGCCTTTACAGATCACTTCCACAAAATTTCTCCATAATATAGTATGTTTTTGCGGCTTTCTTATTTCTGATGTCCTTGATTGTGGCAGCATAACGGTGCAGTTCTTGTCGGAAGGGTACAATGTTTGGTTTAGATTTAACCCATTTGTTTTTATGGATGTGAAATTTCCCCAAACTCAAGATCAACTGACAGAAAAAACACAAATCTTTGTCTTGGTCCTTAAAATAAATAAAAATGTGTTTTTCCTGGAAACTGATCGTTCTTCCTGTTTTCTCTTGCACAAAATGTTGAACATCTTTCCAAAAAGTTCTACTGTAAGTACATTGATAAAATAAATGAGAGATGGTTTCATCTTCAAGTCCACAGAAATCACACACATATTCAATGTCCAGTTTAAATCTTTCTAGTGTTTTCTTTGCAGGGTAGATTTGATGTAAAATTTTAAACGAAACTTCTTTCACCTTGTTATTAAGACAGAATTTGTCACCAACCAGCCACGCTTTATGCCAGTTAACCTCTCCAAATTGTGCAGTCCAGTAAATTTGACCTCTAGGCAGAATCCTTG